CCCGGCACCGCCTGGGGCTCCCGCGGCCGCCCGCGCTGCCACCCGGGGCTCGCGGCGGCGCCCCCGGTACCGCGCGCGGCTCCGGCAAGGGGCCCCTTCGGCGTGGCCCCGGTACAGCCCAGAGCTCCCGGTGCCACCGCCGGTACCGCTCCCAGGAGCTCCCGCTGCCACCCCGGTGCTGCCCCTGGTGTTGCCCTCGGTACCGCCCGGGAGCTCGCGGTGTCACYCCGGTACCGCTCTGGTTCCATCCCCAGCACCGCCCCGACTCCCCCGGCACCGTCCCGGTGCCACCCCCAGGGCTGCTCCGGTGCCGCTTGGGCTCCTGGTGCCTCCCCGCTGTCCCCGGGACCCCTAATGCTACTGACCCCCTGGCCTGGCATCAGTGGGAGCCTTGCTGAGGCCTAACGAGCTCATCACCTGGATAAGCTCATGAGCGGGACAAAGTCATCACAGGACAGTGGCCGGGCAGCTGCCACCACCGCAGGCCGGCGACGTGGCCGCGTGTCCCTCAGTGCCATCACCCCGGCCACGCTGGCGGGCGCTGGCAGCGGGTGCCCACGTGGGGACCCTGCTGGCTTGGGGACACCCGGCACCAGCATGGGGGTGTGGGGGGGRACACCCCGCGTGGCAGCGCGGGGGGCACCGTGTGCCAGGGCAGGGACAGCGCGTGCTGGCAGAGGGGACCCTGTGTGCGGGCACGGGGGGGCCGCGGGGGCTGGCCTGGGGACACGAGTCCTGGCGCCCGGCGCTCAGATGCCCCCGGGGGGGCCAGCACAGGCAGTGCCCCGTGACACCGCRGGGGGGCAGCAGGTGCCACCACGGGGACACGGCGGCTGCCGGGGGGGACACGGCGGCTGTGGTGACATGGTCCCCTGGCACGGGCTCCGCCTGCCCCCGGAGACCCAGCGTGACCCACGGGCCTCCTCATGGGACCGGGGGTGCCCGTGCGCAGGGGACAGCGTCGGGGGCGCCAGGACTTGGGATGGGGGGACACATGGGGATGGGGGAYAGCCCCAGGGCGCAGAGCCGCATCCACACAGGCGGCTGCACCGAGGGCAGCGCCAGGGACGGGGGGCACCGGCCCCGGGCGGGCGGCCAAGGGCCGGSGGGGGGTGCCCAGCTGCAGCGGCCCCGTCTCGCTTGACTTTATTACAAAACTCGGGGTGCTACAAAAAGTGCCGAGGMGCGAGGCCGCCGCGGGCCCGAGCCCCACTGTGTGAGCCCAGCTCCCGCCCATCCGCTCCAATCCCACCAGGAAAACATCCCTCTTCCGCAGGGATCCTCCCGCTGGAGCCCGGTGCAGCTGGGGATGCCAGTGACGGGGACAACGTGGTGGGGACAACACAGCGGGGACAACACGAGGGCCCCAGTGGCTCCYGCGGGGCTCGGACCAAGTCCCGGCATAGGGGCCGCGAGCCCCTCGGCAGCCRCAGCTCCGAGGGCTCCGTGCCCCTAGCCCGAGGGAAAAGCCTTCATGATCTTCACGTCGTCCACGGGCCGGTCCTGCGCGTTGGTCTCCACCATGCCCACGCGGTTCACGATGCCGATGCCCTGGCACACGCGCCCGAAGATGGTGTGTTTGCCGTCCAGCCACTGCGTGGGCGCCAGCGTGATGAAGAACTGGCTGCCGTTGGTGTCCGGCCCCGCGTTGGCCATGGCCAGGATCCCCGCGCCTGCGAGGGAAGCGGCGACGCTCCCAGAAACAGCCCGGATGCTTCCGCACTTCCCAAGGGAAAAATCACTGGGGGGCAAGCCCGAAATCCCGACGGGGGGTGCCCAAAGGAGGGGGGCGCCGCGGGCAGCGGCCGTTCCCCCCGTGTGCCCCGGCCCATTCCCGCAGCGCCAAAGGGGACCCCTACCCGTGAACTTGAGCTCGGGGTGCAGCTCGTCCTCAAACTGCTTCCCGTAGATGGAGGCTCCCCCTCGGCCTGCGGGAGGACAGACGGAGCTGGGCGGGCGCGGGGGGCGGCGGCGCGGGCCTCCCCGGTGCCCGCGGGGTCCTCACCGGTGCCCGTGGGGTCGCCGCCCTGCACCATGAAGTCCTTGATGACGCGGTGGAACTTGGTGCCRTTGTAGTAGCCGCGGCGCGCCAGCTCGGCGAAGTTGCGGCACGTCCGCGGCGCGTGCTTCCAGTAGAGCTCCAGCACCACGGCGCCCATCCTGCGGGACACGCGGGCCTGCCGCCGCCGGCGCGCACCGGCCTCCCCGCCAACGGGG